AAATAAAAAAAAATAAAAATTGCATATTCTCCTTTGTTGTTAAACGTTTCTTTTGTTTTATATTTTATTTTACCTGTTTGGTTGCTTTATTGCATTTAAAACTGAATTTGGTATTAATTTAGCTCATATTTAAATAATATAGTAACTTGTTTAAGGGCTTGAATCATTTAGATAAGACACGAGAAAATATTTAATGTAGAAAAAAAACTAGAACTCTGTTTTAGTTACTTTTTTTCACCCTCATTTGTTTTCCAAATGCTCAAGCTTTGAACTTCCTGCTAATTTGTCTTTATCTTAAAATGTAACTGAATATCTTTATAGTTCCGTTCAGATTCCTTGCATTTAAAGTAAAAAAGGACAAATTAGTTTGACTGAGCAGATAATTTAACAGAAAAGTTATTGTTGAAACGTTACACAGAAATTAAGACTGTTGATAAAAAAAAAAAGATGAAAAAAACCTTTTGGTTTCATAATCAGAAAACTGCTGAAGTTCAGAACGATAGCATTGGTGTCAGTTTAATATAAGTGCTACCAATCATACATCCATGTACACTCACAAACCTAAAGGAATATTTAGAATTATTAGAAAAGAAAATGGGACATTAATGTTTTAAATTCAGATAGAGTCATAGAAAATATGAACGAATATTTGTATATGTAGATATCAGGCTAACATTTCTTATTCCTTCAAGTAAAAGTTGTGAAAGGATATGTCACAATTGATTTGTAGTCACATATTTTTTTCTTTTTGCTATACTAATAGTGGACTGAAGATACTAACCCTTCATATCAATAAGGTCTTCAGATTGCAGCTCGTCATTAATTTGATTTAAAAACATTTGTTCAAAAAATGAAGTTACAGATGGTTCTAATACATTGCAACAAATTTTTGCTTGTTCTTCCTACTCTGTTACTAGAATGAAGAAGAGTATAATAGTTTTAATGTTTGGAAAATGGGCCAGACATCCTGATGGAAAAATAGGTATTGTTTAAAACTAAAATGAGACTAATTATTATATTTGCAGGAATACCAGCTTACTTATAACCATGCAACTATAACAATATTGATTGTTATACTTTCATTGACGCATTTGTGCACCATGAGCTTTGGACCAGATATCCTGATAGTGAATTAGAGCTGTTTGTTACTTGAAGGTAAATTATACATCCTGTACAGCAGAGGGAGTTGTCTGCTCCAGATTCAGAAAGTATGCACTAGTCAGACTTATCACCATGCTGCTGATCATACTTTACAGCAATAACATTTTTATCTTTCCATCTCAGCAAACATTTGTTGAGATGGTTCAGGCTGTGAGATCACTCAACCTTGAGGCTGGTGTCCAATTATACGGAAGATTCTGGTCTTTGTATAGATACCAATATATGAGGGTTTAAAATCTAATTATGATGATACAGTTCTAGAAAACAATTGCCTCTCTTAAGCTGTGTTTACCTGTCAGCTTGTAATTAGTCAGTGTAGCTGCCCAGTTACTGACAATAGACATCAATTTTAATGGAATGTCTTAGAGCAAAGTCACTTACATATATTAACGCAGCAGCTATAACCAAGGGTTTGCTGTTCTCAAAGGTCTAAAACATGTCTCATATTATTACGTTTTTATTTTGGTTGCACTGCCTAAAGATTGTTTTTTTTCTACAGCATTCATCTTTTCTGCAACAATGTCATTTTTGCCATATAGTCACTATAAATTCTGACAGTCCAAATTTCTAAATGTTCAAGCAACTAATGCAAAGTCTCTGACCAGGTTTGGGATTAGGTTTCTGCAATGGTTCTGAATGTGATCTTAGACAGAGGGTAGGGATGTGCTGACACCTGCTCAGCTCCCATTCTTTCTCATTGGGCTTATCTCTGGGAGGAGTGAGGATAAGTTTGCTTATTGATGGAAAACTGAGCATCTCTGAAACGGGAACTGGAAAAGTTTAACTTCCTGCAGTAGCTGAATAAAACTTGGCCTGTAAACGACAACGATGCACTTCTTCTTTGCCATCAGACCAGAATAATGCACATGCTAATAGCTACTCTATTGTCATTGTATTTGTCTATACTATTTCTCTTCTCATAACATTTTATTTGTTTATTCCTTATTGTAAATTCCTACATTTATCTTTTCAGGTACGTTTCTGGAGAAACTCAAAAGTAAAAGATTCAACAAATTTCAAAGTATTCTAAAAACACTTAATGAAATTGTCTCTCCCAATCAGCAGTAACTCGATGGATTAAAGTTTAGAGCTCCTCAGTCAGCTGACTTTGAACACCTGACAGCAGGACAACCAGTAGATGGTATTATTGCAAAATATTTGATTGAATAATATTTCAGTTAACTTAAATTTTAAATATATTCTAACAATTTAACTATCTTTAGGTTGCAGGACAGCTGCCATCCAGCCCCAGATTNTTTCAGTTAACTTAAATTTTAAATATATTCTAACAATTTAACTATCTTTAGGTTGCAGGACAGCTGCCATCCAGCCCCAGATTTGAGATCCCTGACCTAAAGTGAAGGCAGCTTGTTTCCAAACTGGAGTATTGTTACAGCTAATAAAGAACAAGTCACACTTTTCTGTGTAAGAAAAAAATTATGTTAAGCACTCGACTGAAAAAAATGAGAAAAGCATATAAAACGTACACATTTATTTTCATTTACAGTATTTTATTTACATATGAATAAAGGACACACATAATCCACTAAACCTATTTTTGTAACATAAGAAAGCAAAGCTTTTTTCTTGAATTTGCTGATGTTATACAGTCTAACCCAACTGCAAACTGTCCAGGATGCCATTTAGGATAAACCTAAAAGAATAAACCGCTGCAATGTTGACCTTGCATAGCAGTCACATTATAAAATTTGTTTTTGTTAAAATGTTTAAACTTTAAACAGATTTGTGCTCAGGTGATGCCTGTCCATTAGATTCAGTATAAATGATTGTTTAAATCAACTCTGCAGGCCTCTCAGGCAAAGTAATATTTTCAATAAATAGATTATAAGTTAGTTTTTTCGTTTTTTATCTCTGTAATTAAAATAATCTTTGTTTGATAATATGTCATCTTTTACTTTCTATTTTTATATTTTGGAAAACAATTTAGTCTTAAAAGGCAGGCAGATATTCCAGACAGAGTGGATGCTGAATGAATGTGTTAATAAAAGAGCTTAAAAAACGTAAGTATTTAGAGAACTGTGATAGAAACTGACCAGCAGAACTTGGAGAGCAGTCATAGATGAATGAAATCGTCTGTCACAGAGGGGAAAAAAATTGTATTATTTAACTACCGGGAGGGCTGATGAGTGACACAAGAACATGATGAGGATTATCAGGTGAACTGTGTGGACATATGGAAGCATCAGATCAGTTAAACTGAGGAAGGTGACCCAAAAAAGGAAAAGCAAACAACCTATTGAAATAAAGTCTAAAACTAAAATAGTAACCCAATAAAAACCCATTAAAAATTCATTAATGCCAAGTTCTTAAAAAAACGACTTGTGTTGCTTGTATTAACAAAGTGCAAAAAAGAATTTCTCCGTTTGATTAGAAACACCAAGGCACATCCAGATACAATAACAAATGAGAACCATAAGAGATTTACTTTAGAAAAGCAACCTGAAATAAATTCTGTATTAAAAAATAGGAAGCCTGTTTTCTTCTTGCTTTTCTTCCTGTAAAACAGAAGATATGCACTCTGGGATCTGGTGCGGAAAAAGCTTAACATTAGTTTATTATAAACAGTACAAAAACATAGAAGAAGAAAATGAAGGGCAGTTACCTCTCGAATGTCTCTTGTTGGGACATCTGGTCATTGAAAAAGAAACAACTATGTATTAAAATTGCCTTTTTTTAATAATAAATTGAAATATACGGTTTCAAAACAACAGATAAACTAAAAATCATCCATGTTTGAAAGTATTGTTATAGTACAATCATTCTCACCATTGTAACAGAGGAATCATTGAACTCAAACCATCCTTCTTCATCCTGAGGTTTGATTCTTGCTGTATAATGTCCACCTTTCAGAGTCCCAAAGTGTTCCACCAACGCATACAGTTCATAAGTCTGATTCTGAACAATGAGACACAGACATTAATGATCTGAAGACTGAAAAGGAAACAAGCAATGATCAAAATAGCTAAAATATACCTCAGGTACGTTGATAGTGTAGTAAACATCCACAGCA